TGTCTACTAGGTCCATCTCGTCCAGTTTTTCATTTAAGTCTACTATTTCTTTAATGACTTTTTGTCTGGATGATCTATCCATTGATGTAAGTGGGGTATTAAGATCCCCCACTATTATTTTGTTCTTGTTAATGTCTCCTTTTAGGTTTGTTAATAGTTGCTTTATGTACATTGGTGCTCCTATGTTGGGTGCATATATATTTATACGTGATATGTCTTCTTGGTGGCATGTCCCTTTTATCATTATATATTTCCCTTCTTTGTCTTTCTTAACCTGTTTTATCTTGAAGTCTACTTTGTCTGAAATAATATGCTTTTTTGTTTTGTACTTTCAAACAGTTTTTTAATGACTGGGAAAAGTCAATACCAATGTGGGCTTTTATCAAAGAATCTCAGAAATATAGACACATATTTCTAAGACTAGGTAATAGACTTGCCATTTTTGAGGTTCTGGAAATTGTTGCCAAGAATTATGACGTATCTACGTTTATGCAAAGTAACAAAATCAGAAAATGAACTCTAGTTTTAAACTTAGATGCAGAGGCAAAGTCTTACTAGTTTTTGGTGACCTTTCAACATGGCTTGGTTGAGCAGCACACTATGCAAAAAGCATAAGATGAGAGATCCAGTCATCATCAGACTTTACAGTCTCAGGATGAGGGTGACAGTGAGATAGTTGGAAAGCATATGTACGTATGTATGTAAGCAGCTAACTGTAAGAGTCTAGTTTGTTTCTGTCAGCTATCTGCATATGTTGGTTTTAAGTAGCTTTATAGGGTAATATCTTAGTGTGGTTCTAAATTGCTTTCTTAAAAGTCTTAAGGTAATTAATTTTTTTTTTTTAGTTCCTCTGGATCTGCCTCAGTCTTGACACATAGCAGCTCAGGAAATAGTCTAAAGCGCCCAGATACCACAGAATCACTTAATTCTTCTATGTCCAATGGAACAAGTGATGCTGGTAAATGACCTTTGAGAATTTAACTCTTTTCTTCTTAAAAACATTTGTTTGGAAAAAAAATTTTTGTCATACTGGTAGCCCAACGTAATATCAGTCTAAGAAGATCTGTTTTATTTTAGAGCTGTTCGATTCACATGACGATAGAGATGATGAAGGGGAGGCAGGGTCAGTGGAGGAGCACAAGAGCGTTATCATGCATCTCTTGTCACAGGTTAGGCTTGGAATGGATCTCACTAAGGTAAGAATCAGATGTAGCCTTTGCTGTAAGTCTTTATGTGTCTGTGTGGATTCTTCGTGATTGTGTGGTGAGTGTGCCTGCAAATGTAGTACAATGACATAATTTCTGTTGATAACTTTTGTCTTGTTATTTAATATATGTGCAAATGAATAAACTGAAAGTTTTTATAATTGGATGAAATAAGTAAAGCTAGAATAATTTCATAGAAATAGTATGTATGCATTGTATGGATTAAGATTTGGATTTTATTGGGGGCAAACAAGAAATAATACTAGGCTTGGTTAGTGCTTTGAACAAAACTTAAAGCAGTCCAGTGTGCACAGAATCAAAATGAGCAGAGTTCTGATCTTGGAGTTAGAGGACCTGTGTTTGCATCCTGCCTCTGCTATTACCAAACCATGTGACCTTGAGCAAGCCTCTTCCTCTGTGATTTTTAGGTTTCTCACATGCAGGATGGATATACAGTGACCTGCGTTGCAAGGTTGTTGTAGGGACTGGAACAGGTAGTGAATGAAAATGGTAGGATACACATTGAGCCATACGATTGTTATGGGCTGGATTTGAATTTTAATGTAAACTTGACGCTCTAAACAGAATGCCCAATTGACTTAGGAGACTGGTGTGTGGTACCTTTGTACATCCCTGCCACGTCCTAGAAGCCTCGTCCTTTTACGTAATTCTCACCATAGCACTCAAAGTAGGTGTTATTGTTAACTCCAGTTTTAACTTGGCTAAGTCCTATTAAATGGCAGAACTGATTCTAATCTGGTCTGTGATTTCAAAATCTGTAATCTTTCCAGTACTGCCTCTTGTCTTAAAGACTTGATCTGCAGTAGCTTTCATATTGGTTAAATTATTATTCTACTTAGCTTTAAAAATGTAATAAAATTTAAGATTCTCACTTTTGTTATGACCAAATCAACTCCAGTGCTATATAGTCTTTGTCAGTAGTGAGCCTCATTTTGGTTTTAGATTTAGAGGGCTGTTAAGAAAAAACTAATCCGGGGCCGGCCCGGTGGCGCAAGCGGTTAAGTGGGCACGCTCCGCTGAGGCGGCCCAGGGATCGCCGGTTCGGATCCCG